TGTAACTTATCTAATTATTTGCCAACTGGTTTCTGTTATGATCATCAGGTCAAACGTGACGTTGACATAATAGAAACTGGTTGGCAAATAATTAAAATAAGATTAACTCATGGACTGTACTTTTTGTTTGATTTATAATTTACTTTTTCCGACACTTATTTTTCCTTTTTTGTCAAATGATTTATATAGTAAGAGACTGACCTGATTTATGATGGGATGGAAATACTTCATGCACAAATCTCTGTAAAGTTTTTCAGCATTGATGACACACTCGAAGTTTCCAATAGTATCGATTAGATCTCTGAAATAAATAAAAATGCAGGTTACTTTAAAGAAGATGAGATTAAAAGAATACATAAATGACTCTTGAATTTTGAAATGGTTTATTGTACTTAATTATAGTGACGCAATCCAAATAAGGATGACATAATGCATAAGAAAACGTATAGGATTATTGTCATAGTTTATCAGTTTATTATAGTTCATCAGTTTATTATAGTTTCTGTTCTTATCATTTTCAGATCTTGATCATTGTGTAATACAGTTGAATAAAGATACTTACAAATAGATAGAACTCTTATTTATGATCAAGATACAGTGACGCAAGAACAATGCCTGCAGTACAGTGTCCGTTTCCCGACTGTAACTACAGCACCAGTTTAGTTATTTGGCATGTTTGGAGAAAAGCAAGTGTAAACTACTCGGAGAAAAGTAACTGTAAACTACTCGGAGGAAAAATAAAGGCCTTCTCGGAGAAAGTAACAGAAAACTACTCGGAGGAAAAATAATGGTGTATATATTCACGGATCTAAGTATGTGGAAACTACTCGGAGAAAAAATGTAAAATCTTACTGAGAGAAGCAAGTGTAAACTACTCGGTGAAAAACACATGCATTCTGCTCGGGAAAACAATTATTAACTATTCGGAGAAAGCACAGAGAGAAGCAAATGATTAACTATTCGTCAACTACTCTGGGGGATACGTGTCAACTGCTTGGAGAAAAATCAGGTGTAAACTTACGGAGAGAAACAGGTGTAAACTTACGGAGAGAAACGAGCTGCTGTAGCTATCGTCGTCAATATTTCCATTCCTTCTGTCAGTGTTTCACTCATCTCTTTCACTATCATGTTTCTCAAATCCTTGTCTAACTGTAAAGTCAAGAGTATAATGAATATATAAGTAAAGTAAGCAGTAAGAGGCGAGGAGTTCAACAATTATTATTTTTGGTCATTTTGCGCAATTAAAAGGATTATTCCGGAGGAGGGAAGGATCTTGAAATTTGAACACAATTTATGGGTGCGGACCTACATCAAATGGTTCGCAAATCTTGGAAAAAAATATTTCCAGTCTCGCCGTATAAAAAAGCCAAAAACTCAGTGCTGTCCCTTAAAATAATACCGGTAGTACGATTTAGTTGACGAAAACAAATCATTTTCTCATTCTTATGGCTAGATAGTTGACTGGCAAGAGGTGAATCGCTAAACTTATTTTATCTATACAAGGGCCTGCGTACTTTTGAAGAAAAAAAATAGAAAAAACATTTTGCCATGTAGTCGATATTTAAAATAACAGGAATATTGGCCACTTGACACAACCACATGTCATACTGAATAACCATCATGTGACGGTAAAGGCGGTGTCAAATCAACTGACTTTACACACATAGGTTGGGCAATTCTCACTTGAAAACTTTTAATAGCTAAAGCTACAAAGTACTACATCTGTACATTACGAAAGACCGGTAGGGCAATTTCAACTTCATGAATTCCCGATTTCATCTTCATGAATTCACAATTTAAACTTCGTGCATTCCCGTTTTCAAAATACGGAATTCACGAATTCAAGATTCAGCTTCATGTATTCACGACTTCAACTTCACGAATTCACGATTTCAACTTCATGAATTCACGATTTCTACTTCACAAATTCACGATTTCAACTTCATGAATTCACGATTTCAACTTCACGAATTCAACTTCGTGAATTCACGATTTCAACTTCATGAATTCACGATTTCAACTTCATGAATTCACGATTTCAACTTCACGAATTCACGATTTCAACTTCATGAATTCACGATTTCAACTTCATGAATTCAACTTTGTGAATTCATGATTTCAACTTCACGAATTCATGATTTCAACTTCACGAATTCACGATTTTAACTTCATGTTCAACTTCACGAATTCACGATTTCAACTTCACAAATTCACGATTTCAACTTCATGAATTTGTGAAGTAGAAATCGTGAATTCATGAAGTTGAAATCGTGAATTCGTGAAGTTGAAGTCGTGAATACATGAAGCTGAATCTTGAATTCGTGAATTCCGTATTTTGAAAACGGGAATGCACGAAGTTTAAATTGTGAATTCATGAAGATGAAATCGGGAATTCATGAAGTTGAAATCGAGAATTCTTGAAGTTGAAATCGAGAATTCATGAAGCTGAAATCAGGAATTCATGAAGTTGAAATGTCCTCACCGGTCTTTCGTAGTACATAGAGCATTGCTCATTATAGGAACATCTTTTTAACTACAGCTACAACCTTTTACTCTAAATCTTATCATCTTTTAGAACAATCCGGCAGTTAACCATTTGTACATATAAATGTAGTAAATATATTTAATTTCATTGTCTGCTTTTTAAAAACAGAATCATACCTTATTCATACGCTCCTCTCTGATTTGTTTTTCTGTTTTGTACAGAGGGTACATCTTCTCTAATGCCAGCTTGGACTTTTCTTTGCACGTGATATATTCTTTTGTCATCTGAATATAAACCTTGTGTGCTTCAAAGCTAGCTTCTTTAAAGCAATTTTGGCTGTCGACATCGTTAGCATACTCGTTGAAATTGTCGGCTGCTGCATTCATCTGTCTGTATGCTTCCATACACTTCCGGTCCAATTCCTTGTATTCCTACTCATAATAATGTTAACAAAAATAAAATATAATATAACATGTATTTTTTTCATGAAATGTATTTTTTTCATGAAATATACATCGTAATGTTTCAAAAAGTGTTATTAAAAATTCTTTCAATGTTTTGGAAGCGGAGGCGGCTAGAAGACTCTTAATTGCTTGTACATTGTACTTTAATATATACATTATATTATTGTATTAGATAATTGGAAAATTTCCCAACAGATACGCATTTGTATATTTTTGTGAAAAGCTTTGGATACCTGTAGAAATTCTATCCAAAATTATACATAAAGATCCGGAAACGTTGATGGATTTAAAAACAACCAAAGTAAGTGGCTTTATTACAAACGATGCAACTATATATAGATTTGCTTCATTAATTTAATATAAATTACTTTTAACAATTTAACTTTTATCAATGGATAAGAAGTGTCAGCACCTGTGTATTAAAATAAGTTAGAACAAAGGCTTACCTTAATAGCATCCGTTAAGGATTCAAGTGCTTGCTGGTGTTTATGGCAGATCTGTGACAATTTCCGGAACACTTTCGTACATGTGGTCATTTCTTTTTTAGGTAAGAACCTATATAGAACAAAATACAAATGCTAGAAATATATCACTGGCTTCAAATTATTGTATTTAACATAAAACAAACGCATTCAGTTTTAATGATTTTAGTTTATATAAATTGACCTTTAACCTGCTGTCGGCAATAAATTCTACCAATGCGACCAGTGCAGACGAAAACCAGATAATGGTCTGAACTATTCGCTATTCAGTTACTATATATGTGCAGTCAATAGATAATGTAGGAAATTGCCCTAAATTCATGAATGATTATGTCAAGATTGAAAGATGGGCAAGTCCAATTGATAAATTTAAGGTGATACAGGCAATTATCTCATGCAATTTAATATGTGTTTCGAAATTATCAAATTTAAAAAACAAAGACCATGTGATAATGCATGTTCTTTATTTACGCATCATCTTTCTGTCTTATTCTCCTCAAATTGTTTAATGAAGGGTTCGAACCCTTTGAATCTCCTTGGTCATGTAGTTCAAGCCAATGGTCAATGTTACCCTTGTCACGTGACATATGGTATTCAAACGCAGAATCCTTCAGTAAATCAAATGCCTCGTTTAAAAGGGGGACACCTGTAACATAATATCACAAGTTTAGAAAAGATGTGGCGTGGCCTCCGGACTTACAACTATAAATATACTCATTTATTCAGTCCTTTCCGTATTTTCACTTTAAATAATTATTTATCACTGAAGTAAAACATATTTTTCGATATTTTCACAGGTATCTTGCCGAACTACTTACTCTATACATAAAATTCGAGGGGAAGTCTTTCGAATTTAAATACCAAAAAGAGGGAAAATAGTATATAATAAACATGAAATTCAAGTGTTTATATAAACGCGGGATTTATTTTAATCTCGTGCTATGAAATTTATTATATCCGACTCGATAATAAATAAATCCCGTGTGGTTAAGGTCGCTGACTTGAGATCACAGGTCCCTCACCGCTGTAGGTTCGATCCTCACTCGGGTCGAAATCTTTCATGTGAGGAAGCCATCCAGCTGGCTTACGGAAGGTCGGTGGTTCTACCCAGGTGCCCGCTCGTGCCTGAAATAATGCCCGGAGGGGCACCTGGGGTCTTCCTCCACCAATAAAGCTGGAAAAAATCGACGAAAAATCTCGGCGGGACTTGAGTGTACGGTCGCCCATATGGGCTTTCCGGCGGCGACCTTAAATTAACGCATTAATAAAAAGCTTGAATACCTCGTAAAGTCATTTACATCTACATCTCTGGTAAAGTAGATACGAATAAACTCATAGATTTATCAATATTGAAACAAAAGGAAAGTGCACACAAATATATTCTTAAAGGATTAATTTTGGATTAAAAAAAAACAATTACATATACTGCAGTTTAATCTGTATTAAAGATAAAAAAAATAATTATGTTGAGGTTACCTCTGAGAGGTGGGAATTGTGTAATCCTGGTTAATATTTTCGCTGTTGGATCTCGTCCTTTTGTAATATCATCCGCAAAAGTTGCACACAACTTCCGAAACTCAACAAACCGATTGGTTCTGCAAATTAAAGTAATTTTACATAAAAGAACAATATAGAATTGTCTTAATGTATGAAATATATTGAACAATCATTGATATAATTAGTTAGTGTATCACTATCAATAAATAATAATAATTAAAAGTAGAAGTTCATTAGTATTAATAATAATAATAGACTGATAAGGAGAAGAATAAGAAAAAGAAGAAAGTAGAAGAACATTAGTATTAATAGTAATAAATAAATAAATAAATTAATTAATTAAAAAATAATAATAGATATAACAATAATAATAATAATTATTAGTATTTTTATTATATATATAATAATTATAATAATAATAATAACATTATCGAATGGCACTGATGATAATTTTATTTGTAGCTTCGAAGTTAAAACATTTTATTATAAGAATTGATTTAAAGTTATAGGAGTGTATATAAAATATTTGTTCATTTCTCACAAAGGAATATGAACATTTCATTCAGAAATCAAATGTTCTTCATTGATTTTCTGATCTGCAATATTAAAAAAAAGTGTTAACTTACATCAGTGTTCCGTTCCGCGAAAAAACAAATGTAGGCTGATATATTGTGTCCATTCTAATAGTTTCTTGTTTTTTCCTCAAATCAGCTGCAGTTCTTATCAAAATGAAGTCGTTAAGTGATATGGTCGTTAACGTAATGACGTCATAATCGTTTATGCGTAATTTTAAATGACGTCGTTAACGACGCATCATCACACACTCGACGAAGTGATCTCCCCTTCTTTGTTCGGGTTACTGTGCAGATCAGTGGGAAGTAACTGATGTGCATACAGTTTGACATCGTCAATAATGACCAAAAAGGAACTTAATTTTAACCTTAAATCCTGATTATAGAAACCAGTATATAAGAAAGCAAGTTTCCCCTTGATATTGTCATATTTTAAGCAACCAAGATGTTTACATGTGACAAGTAGAAGTGATTTTTTGTGACATGAAAAAGCTTTGAGTTTTTAATGAGTTACTTCAATGTTACTGTTGGTTTTCCTCTCACTTTTTGTTTTCTCTTCAATGTATTTTAGGCACCTGTAAGTACGTGGAAAGAAACCATCGATCTTTCTTAGACTAGCTAGATAACTTCTTCGCATAATATTTTATAGCCATGGGTACAAAATGAGTTTATTAACAGATGTTTATGAAATCAACTATTCAGTGAAATTGAATAGATCTAATTATATCAAATATTTTAAAATGTCTTTATTATTTATACCAATGATCCAAAAGGAACATAACTCAGTCTCTCTCAAAGCTGCGAAAATAGAAATATGATAACAACGATTTTTTTTTATTTCAAACTGTTAGTGGAAATTAACACAAAATTTTACAAAATAAACAAGTAAATAAATTAACTGAAAATCTGGGAAAAAAAGTGATCCCTCTCAACAAAATTGCAGGCTCGGTTTGATTGAGTCTGTACATGAGGGATATAGAGAATAACATGCTACTGTCTTTTGATATCAATTTTATCAGGCGAGGCTGATATGGGCTAGAAAGGACGAGGCTTGCTGAGCCCTTTCTGCCCTTATCAGCCGAGCCTGATAAAATTGATATCAAAAGACAGCAGCATGTTTTTATATTTATCATGTAACACATAATAACTGTTAAAATAACAAAATAATCTACTTCTAAATAGCAAATTTCGTTAAAAAGGGGGATTTTTGTTCAAAGAAATAGTTCTTGAAAACAAATTCCTCCGCCCCTGAAACTTAGAATTTGTAATTCAAAAATTGGCGACCATTTTTTCTTTCGACTCGGATAAAAGATACAACAGAATGTAGGCCTAATACGATAACATTCTTACCTTTAATTTAAACATCGATCCAAAAACCCGCTTAGAATCACATAAACTAAACTTTACTGCATTTTTTGTCTTGAATTGTCAAATTCAAAAGTTCACGATAATTTCAATCAAAGAAAAGTCAAATCGGCAATCAAACACAAGCTACACAAACATGCGTCTTATTTTTTAAACGAAACAATTTGTTCACTTATTAAATAATAATCCGGCGAAATAAAGTAAACATTTACAAGTTCTCAAAGAAAATCGTCTAGCCTGTTTGTTATGATTACATGTATAGTATGACGTGAACATCGATGATGTCATTTGCAATATAAATTATGACGTCACTTCATTTAGTTGGTGCTAAAACTATTCGCTATCTAATTTCGTTATTCGTAATTGAAATCGAAATAATAAATAAATAAATTTCGCATATTGATTCAAGACTTGTAAGGGTATGAGATTACATTGTAGAATTCACATGCTGATGAAAATGAGAATATAAGCAATTGAAAAAAGTCGTCAAAATGGGCGGGGCTAATTTTTGATATTAGGTTACTGACGTGATCATGTATCAAAAATAATTATCAGGCAAGTGTTATCGGGCAGTTACCATAGCAGTTGCATGATAAAATAGATAAGTGCACATCCCTCACGTCCCCTATTACCGTCTTGAGCGGTACTCAATTCCCAATACTTAATAGTGCTGGCATCAATGATCCCGAAGAACCAGAAATCTGTAACAACACTGAAGCCACTCGGCAGGATACTATAAGTGCATAATTGTCTTGTAAGTTTGAGAATTTGGGAAAATCTATAACAAAACATTGTCGAAGAAATAAGTTGAAATCTATAACTCAAACAGAGGACAAAAATATATATGTAGTACTGTATTAATTTTGAAACAAATATGATATTTTTGATATTTTAATTAGTAGCTTTTTATCTTCCGCAGGCGGTGTTATGGTAAACAATGCAAAAGTTGTGATGGCTGATATTCCAACAAGCAATGGTGTTATTCATGTGATCGACAATATTCTTTTACCTAAATAGTGATAGAAATTTAATTACGTTTATATATTTTTGAAACATTTATGTAAATATATTTTATTATAATATTTATCTAATAAAACTTGTTACAAAATACGTGTATTTGTCTCTATGTCTTTTGAAAGAACTGTCATAAGAGTCAAACAATGAGTGATGCACCAACAACTGTAGAACAAAAGTAATAAAATATCACAGAATTGAGACTTTTCAAACAATACAACAGTACTCAAGCCTCCTCAGCTAAAACCTTCAACCTTTGAGGTGGAATCAATAGAAAAATACGGTGCAGTTTTCTTTTCGAAAACTACAATTAAGACAATGAGATTCAACTACACGTACATGAACATATACTATCCGAACTTCGAAGGATGCAATAAATTTTGGTGAAAATATGAAAGTAGAAAATAAACAACTTGATAATCTTTTAAGCAATTGTTAGAAATTTTCCAATCAATGAAATTACCTGACGGCAGTTAATAGTGATACAACCTATGATGTGCTTATATTTCTGGAATTTCCCCTGTTTGAATGCATGTCGAAAAGTACTGTCACCTCACATTAAAAAGTGCATTTATAACACATTTATTATCTTCAAGTGCACGTGTTTCGCAAATATCTTTGAAGTCTTGAAAAATCTGAGTTAGTGTGTTTGGAGGGTATGCAGTTCTGTCTTTGTGTTGAATTTCAACAAAATAGCACCGGTTTCAAAAACTGAAAAAATGCGTCGGATCACTAATTGATTAATTAAAGGTGCAAATATTATTTCAAATAGAGGAGCATCTTTCATATTTCTAACACACAACATTTCTCCTAGTTTTGACTTCAAAAATTTTATAAGATGCTTTTTAAACATTTATTATTTCGTCTGATGTGGCGTTACATGTCCTGTCACTGAAATTCTCCCGATAACTTAATGGTAAATAAAAAACAACAACAACAACAAAAACAACAACAGAATGTTCTCCAAAATAAATGTATACATTTAATATTTTCATGTTTATAAAAATCATAGTGGTTAAAAGTAACTGTAAACTACTCGGAGGAAAAATAATGGTGTATACATTCACGGACGTAAGTATGTGAAAACTACTCGGAAAAAAGTGTAAAATTTCACTGAGAGAAGCAAGTACAAAATACTTTCAGAAAAGCATGTGCAAACTACTCGGAGGAAAACACATGCATTCTATTAACTACTCGGAGAAAAGCAAAGAGCGGAGCATATAATTAACTGTTAGTCAACTACTCGGGGGGAGATACGTGTCAACCACTTGGAGAAAAATCAAGTGTAAAGTTACGGAGAGAAACGAGCTGCTGCAGCTATCGTCGTCAATATTTTCATTCCTTCTGTCAGTGTTTCACTCATCTCTCGCACTATCATGTATCTCAAATCATTGTCTAACTAAAAAATCAAAAGTACATGAATATATAAGTAAGGTAAGTAGTAAGTGGCGAGGAGTTCAACAATTATTTTCTGGGTCATTTTGCGCAATTAAAAGGATCATTGCGGAGGAGGGAAGGATCCTAAAATTTGAACACAATTTATGGGTGCGGACCTACATCAAATGGTTCGCAAATCTTGGAAAAAATATTTCCAGTCCCGCCGTATAAAAAATCCAAAAACGCAGTGCTGTCCCTTAAAATAATAGTACGATTTAGTTGACGAAAACAAATCATTTTCTCATTTTTATGGCTAGATAGTTGACTGGCAAGATGTGAATCGCTTAACTTATTTTATCTTTACAAGGGCCTGCGTACTTTTGAAAAAAAAAAAAAATAGAAAAAAATTTTGTCATGTGGTCGATATTCGAAATAACAGGAATATTGCCTACTTGACACAACCACGTGGAATACTGAATAACCATCATGTGACGATAAAGGCGATGTCAAACACACATAGGTTGGGCAATTCTCATTTGGAAAGTTTTAATAGCTAAAGCTACAAAGTACTACATCTGTACATAGAGCATTGCTCATTATAGGAACATCTTTTTAACTACAGCTACAACCTTTTACTCCAATTCTACCATCTTTTAGACTAACCCGGCAGTTAACCATTTGTACATATAAATGTAGTAAATATATTTAATTTCATTGTCTGCTTTTTTAAAAACAGAATCATACCTTATTCATACGCTCCTCTCTGATTTGTTTTTCTGTTTTGTACAGAGGGTACATCTTCTCTAATGCCAGCTTGGACTTTTCTTTGCACGTGATATATTCTTTTGTCATCTGAATATAAACCTTGTGTGCTTCAAAGCTAGCTTCTTTAAAGCAATTTTGGCTGTCGACATCGTTAGCATACTCGTTGAAATTGTCGGCTGCTGCATTCATCTGTCTGTATGCTTCCATACACTTCCGGTCCAGTTCCTTGTATTCCTACTCATAAAAATGTTAACAAAAATAAAATATAATATAACATGTATTTTTTTCATGAAATATACATCGTAATGTTTCAAAAAGTGTTATTAAAAATTCTTTCAATGTTTTGGAAGCGGAGGCGGCTAGAAGACTCTTAATTGCTTGTACATTGTACTTTAATATATACATTATAACATTGTATTAGATAATTGGAAAATTTCCCAACAGATACGCATTTGTATATTTTTGTGAAAAGCTTTGGATACCTGTAGAAATTCTATCCAAAATTATACATAAAGATCCGGAAACGTTGATGGATTTAAAAACAACCAAAGTAAGTGGCTTTATTACAAACGATGCAACTATATATAGATTTGCTTCATTAATTTAATAATAATTACTTTTAACAATTTAACTTTTATCAATTATTGTGCGCATAGTAATGTGACAATTGAATGCTTCATATACATAAACCAGTAGTTCTATTAATGACAGTGAATGGGTAAAAACAGAAAACGGACTAAATCTCAGGTATCGCCTGACGCGGGAAATCCTTTGCCTGAACAAAAAAGGACCGCTATGGATCAAAGTGATCAGTTATCACCGTCAACTCTGTCTAATGTAGGTAACGGTAGCTTTTTACATCAATTACAACAGCCTTACATCCCTAATATGATGGGATCTTATATACAGAGTCCAAACGCAATGCCTATGACACCGCCGCCTCAGATGCCACAGTCGCAGACGCAGCATTATAATAATCCAGTCTCACCGATTATCGACAATACGGTAATTATGTGAAAACTTGAAGCTATTGATTTACGTTTGCGTAAACTGGACTCAATTGAGGAACAAGTATTAAACATTAACTCTAAAGTATCTTCAATGAATCATAGAATCTCTTCTCTGGAATCCAAAATGTCTGATTCGAATAAAACAATACTAGAACTTGAAAAAAGCAGAACATTTGATTCACAGGTGTGCAATGAGGTCAGTTCTAAACAGAAAAATATCGACAAAATTATCTCCGATGAAAAACAAAGATGTAATAGCATGCAAGGTGAACTGCATAATTTGAAACAAAGCAACTCTAAATTAGAAGACGATATTGTGGATTTGCATGCACGATCGATGAGGGATAATTTGTTGTTCTTTAACATTCCAGAGAAAACCCTAGCTAACAACAGACGAGATGAAAACTGTTCATTAAAAATTCTCAACTTTTGTGAAAACAATCTAAAAATGTCAGATGCTAAGAACTGACCTGATAGTAAAATCTCTTGATCCATCCCTGAGTATCAGAGTAAACATTTATGGCGAAGTAAGTAGACATTTTCATACAGAATTTTATTATTATTATTGACACAATGTTATATTTTTTCCCGGCTTCTGGACAAAATCAATATCTATTTCTTTTTTAAAATCACCAAAGACAAATTCCTACGCTTATAAATATTATTTGTCGAGAGAATATTTCTCGCAGAAATTTACTTTCTGTACAAAAACTATGTTTCCAAAAGTAAATTGTTAAAATAACTGATTGTTTTTGTTAAAACTATACAATGGACTTTTTGTAGTTTTGTAAAAAAAACTCCTTCTTTTCAAGATTGTGACGGTAGATGGCGCTAAAGTAGTAATGGCTGACCAGAACGCTACTAATGGGGTTATTCATGTGATTGACAAAGTGATGTTTCCCTTACCGAGCGCAGATATCCCAACCACCGTAGCTGCAGACAAGGAACTGAGCACACTTCTCACAGCTGTTAAAGAAGGACAGCTTGCTGGTCCTTTAGCCGGTAAGGAAGATTAAAATATTTATGCTTCACATAGTTATAAAAATGTGTTAGCTTTAAACAATGCCTATGCAATCGTATCTAAATATTTTACAATATTAATGTATTCACACGTTTTGGTGTCTTTTCACAGAAAGGGACACCATGCATTTACGTTTGGAATAAATTTTCAGTAGAATTGTTCACTTCTCAATTATTATCTAAAATGTATGTTGTATTAGGTAAATATGTATACAAAACATAATACTGTATTATTTTGCTGTATTGTTTGTGAAAAATTCCTTTATTCATGTTTTTGCATTGTAATATAAATACATGTATGTATCTGTTATTCAGGAAGTGGACCTTTCACCCTATTTGCACCAAGCAATGCAGCTTTCCAAAAACTACCACCAGGCGCACTCGATGACTTATTACGTAACAAAACAGCACTTGTAGGTGCGTCAGAAAAATTCAATTTTTTTTTTCAAAAACTACAATTAAGACAATGAGATGCAATTACATATACATACATATACGATCCGAACTTTGAAATGACTGGTATTTGAACAGCCAAAATAATTAAGTAGTTTTTCAAATGACTTCTTTGCTCTAACGTGGTTTGTAAGCTTCATATTCACGGAAACGATAATAAAGCCTTTAAGACCACAATTTTTTCAGGTGTGAAGAATGCAATAAATTTTGGTGAAAATGTGAAAGTAGAAAATAAACAACTGGCTAATCTTTCAAGCAATTGTTAGACATATTCCGACCAATGAAATTACCTGACGGCAGTTAATAGTGATACAACTCATTATGTGCTTATATTTCTGGATTTTCCCCTGTTTGAATGCATGTCGAAAAGTACTGTCACCTCACATTAAAAAGTGCATTTCTAACATATTAATTATCTTCAAGTGCACGTGTTTCGCAAATATCTTTGTAGTCTTGAAAAATCTGATTTAGTGTGTTTGGAGGATATGCAGTCCTGTCTTTGTGTTGAATTTTAACAAAATAGCACCGGATTCAAAACTTGAAAAAAGTGCGTTGGATCACTAATTGATTAATTAAGGTGCAAATATAATTTCAAATATATGGGCATCTTTCATATTTCTAACACACAACATTTCTCCTAGTTTTGACTTCAAAAACTTTATAAGACGCTTTTTAAACATTTATTCTTTCGTCTGATGCGGCGTTACACGTCCTGTCACTGAAATTCTCCAGATAACTTAATGGTAAATAAAAAACAACAACAACAAAAACAACAGAATGTTCTCCAAAATAAATGTATACATTTAATATTTTCATGTTTATAAAAATCATAGTGGTTAAATTCATTTTTTCATCGGACTAGTCTTGTCACATTCGTGGGATAGAATCCATAATGTTTCTTTCCGCAGTCGAACTTCCTTGTCCATCCAAACGCAAGTCTGCCGTCAACAGAACAAAACTTCTGCTTGATGTCCATATCTAAAAAACACAAATGATTATTCTAAAATCAAAACTTTACAATTTGCAGGAAAAAGTCACATATAGCCTTTGACATTACGACACTTGAATCAGTAACTATGGTGTTAGGGGTATCCAAAGTTTTCAAGTTGTTTTTGGAGATTTTTTTTGTGTGTGTGTTTGTTGTTGTTGTTTTTTTAAGTTGTTTTTGTTTGTTTGGTTGGTTTTTGTTGTTGTTTTTGTTGGTTTTTATTGTGTTTTTTGTTATGTTGTATTGTTGTTGTTTTCTTTCTTTTTTTCTTTTCTGTTTTTTCGTCTTTAATAATACATCTTGAAAAATGACACCCTGTGTAATGGTTACAATATTGCATTAACTTCCTTTGAATACAATATAATGAATTACGACACTTGAATCAGTAACTATGGTGTTAGTTGTATCTAAAGTTTTTAAGTTTGTTTTTGGAGTTTTTTGTTTGTTTGTTGTCGTTTTTTTTAAGTTGTTTTTGTTTGTTTGGTTGGTTTTTGTTGTTGTTTTTGTTGGTTTTTATTGTGTTTTTTGTTATGTTGTATTGTTGTTGTTTTCTTTCTTTTTTCTTTTCCTTTTTTTCGTCTTTAATAATACATCTTGAAAAATGACACCCTGTGTAATGGTTACAATATTGCATTAACTTCCTTTGAATACAATATAATGAATGTTTGATTTAATAAAAGAAAACAAAAAGCAAAGAAAGGTAGTCGAAATTTTATTATCAGTGAGTATGTTAAATCACAGTTAAACTACTACATATTAGGATAATTTATATAGAAAAATAAAGAAATTTCTCACCATGTTTTAACTTGAGCAAGTCATCTTTTCCTTCAACATTTAAAGTGGAATTTCCCCATACATACAGCTCCTCTTGTCTAAACACTGCAATGAAAATATACCATGACTATCATACCATAACATTTATACCAAGACATTTATACCATAAAATTTATACCACTTCATTTATACCATGATGATATAATTATATCATGACATTATTAAATTTTATACTTTTGCATTTGTACCATGATATTACACCATGACATTTATACCACAATATCTATACCATGGCATTTATACAATGACATTTATACCATTGTATTTATACCATAATGTTATATCATAATATTAAACTATGACATTTATACCATAATATTTTACCATGATATTTATACAATGACATTTATACCATTGTATTTATACCATAATATTATATCATAATATTAAACTATGACATTTATACCATAATATTTTACCATGATATTTATACAATGTCATTTATACGACCATACATAGAGCTCCTCTTATTTTAACTATATATTGAAAAATTACCATGATATTTATACCATTGTTAACAACAATTCTAATAATTAGTTAATAAGTGTCATCAAAATAATGAAATGTTTTAAAAGAAACATAATTACTATCGCTGTAAATTATTTAGTGGTACATACATTCCTGGTATATAACAAGGTTTCAAAATTTATTTGAGCTATCATATTTCAAACGGTGTTCAAAAGCATTTTCATTATAAATAAGTATAAAAGCATCATCGCATTATGAAATGATGAACATAATTACGTTTTGATTCTCCCTCTAGTAGAGATAAACAACTCTCATGCTTCCGAAATCTCCTTTCATCTTTATCCATGACATAAACGTGTGGAGAGTAGAAAGTGTTTCCCAGTACCTCTCCAAGATGTTTCTATTGAAAATAAACATAAATTATCTCAGAATACAAAATATTTAAAATTCTAACACGACCCGCATTTTTCCCTATTGAACAAAGAAGAACAGAAAGTGTGTGTTATTATGCAACAGATGCACAGGTTGACGTTCTATATTTAGACATGCGACGTAATCATTAAACACGAGACGTAACCACTAAAAATCCGACGCGCTGAAAATAAGTACGGAAACAAATCAGGCGCAATTTTGCTTAACTATCAAGTACGGCAACATTTATTTGTTGATGTCGTGTTAGAATCGAAATAATATATCCAAATCAGTGATTTTATCGCTTGATAACATCACTGCTTGTCGTTCGGATGCGCATCATTATATCACTCGGGCTACGCCCTCGTGATATAATTCCTCGCATCCGAACTCCAAACAGTGATGTTATTGAGCGATAAAATCACTGTTTGGGATATATTATTTCTTAAACAACAGGGCCTTGTTCATATCCAAACATGACATTTTGTGTGATATTGTTAAGGTCGGGATATTTAGGATGTCAGAATTAATGTGATTTCATTCTGTTAAATAATTTGATAAAATTAAAATCATTCAGTTTTGTATGTGTATTCTTAACCCTTATCCTGCTAAAAATCTTAAATGGACTTGTCCAACTTTCAATCTGGACCAAACCATTAACCGTTTTAGGGAAATTTTTCAAAATATGTCTGGATAGTGGGAATTTTGGCAGAACATGAGCAGACGACAAGGACGTAAGGTTGATTTTTGGTCTGCACTGGTCGCTTGGTAGATTCACCTACCGCCAATATTCTTTAGGTTAACATTGTGAAAATAATTTTATCTTATATGAACAGATCAAAATCTTCTAATAAAAATTGAAAGATTGTAATAAAGTAACAATGTATCATATATAAATATTTGAAATGATTTATATAGTAAGAGACTGACCTGATTTATGAAGGGATGGAAATACTTCAAGCACAAAATCGTTGTAAAAGTTTTTCAGCACTGATGGACCAGTCAAAGTTTCCAATAGTATCGAAAAGATCTCTGAAACAAGAGGCCATGATGGCCCTAGATCGCTCACCTGAATTATCAAACTCATCCAAACAATTACCTAGACAAGCATTCTGACCAAGTCTCATGACAGGTGAGTCAAAAATGTGACCACTTACAGTGTTAACAAGGATTATCCATATTTGAGCAGTGCGACCTAGTTTTTTACCCAGGTGACACATATTCAAACTTGACCTAGAAATCATCAAAACAAACTTTCAGACCAATTTCCAGGATACTTGGATCCAAAAACAGTAGCAACTAGAGTGTTAACAAGATTTTTCTATTTTTAGCTCTGGTGACCTAGTTTCACATGCGATTTCGAACTAATCCAAGCAATTACCTAGACAAGCATTCTGACCAAGTTTGATGATAATGGAGTTGAAAATGTGACCACTAGAATGTTAACAAGGTTTTTCCATATTTGGGCGGTGTGACCTAGTTTTTCATCCAAGATGACCCATGTTCGATCTTGACTTAGAAATCATCAAAACAAACTTTCAGACCAATTAACAGAAATTTGGATCACAACAGTAGCCACTAGAGTGTTAACAAGATTTTTCTATTTTTAGCTCCTGTGACCTAGTTTTTCATCCGAGATGTCCCATGTTCGATTTATTCCCAGCAATGACCTAGACAAGTTTCCTGACCAAGTTTGATGACAATTGAGTCAAAATTGTGACCACTAGAATGTTAACAAGGTTTTTCTATTTTTAGCTCCTGTGACCTAGTTTTTCATCCGAGATGACCCATGTTCGAACTCATCCGAGTTATTACCTAGACAAGCATCTTGATCAAGTTTGATGATGATTGATGCAAAAATGTGACCGCTAAAGTGTTAACAAGGTTTTTCTATTTTTAGCTCCGGTGACCTACTTTTTCATCCGAGATGACCCATGTTCGAACTCATCCAAGCTATCAACTAGATAAGCATCCTGACCAAGTTTGATGATGATTGATGCAAAAATATGACCGCTAGAGTGTTAACAAGGTTTTTCTATTTATAGCTCCGGTGACCTAGTTTTTCATCAGAGATGACCCATATTCGAACTCATCCGAGCTATTATCTAAACAAGCATCCTGACAAAGTTTGATGATGATTGGGTCAAAAAATGTGACCACTAGAGTGGTCACAAGGTTTTTCTATTTTTAGCTCCTGTGACCTAGTTTTTTCATCAGAGATGACCCATGTTCGAACTCATCCAAGCAATTGACTAGACAAGCATTCTGACCAAGTTTGATGATGATTGGTTCAAAAATGTGACCACTAGAGTGTTCACAAGGTTTTTCTATTTATAGCTCCTGTGACCTACTTTTTCATCCGAGATGACCCATGTTCGAACTCATCCGAGCTATCACCTAGACAAACATCCTGACCAAGTTTGATTAAGATTGGGTCAAAAAATGTGACCTCTAGAGTGTTCACAAGGTTTTTTCTATTTTTAGCTCTTGTGACCTAGTTTTTCATCTGAGATGACCCATGTTCGAACTCATCCGAGCTTTCAACTAGATAAGCATCCTGACCAAGTTTGATGATGATTGAGGCAAAAATGCGACCGCTAGAGTGTTCACAAGCAATTGTGGACGGCCGGACGGACGACGGACGACGGACATTCATCGATCCTAAAAGCTCACCCTGAGCAAGCTCATGTGAGCTAATAAAAAAAAAACCAAGCAGATCACTTGAAAGAAGACATGGTAAAAATAAACACAAAAGACTCCTAAATTCAATTCTGAAATGGTTTACTGTATACAATTATAATGACACAATCTAATGGTAAGGAAGTTTTAGTTAAGTGACTACTAGTTTTTGGACAAAATCATGTGTAAACTACTAGGAGAAAAGTAACTGTAAACTACTCGGAGGAAAAATAATGGTGTATACATTCACGGACGTAAGTACAATGTATGTGAAAACTACTCGGAAAAAAGTGTAAAATTTCACTGAGAGAAGCAAGTACAAAATACTTTCAGAAAAGCATGTGCAAACTACTCGGAGGAAAACACATGCATTCTATTAACTACTCGGAGAAAGCAAAAGAGCGGAGCATATAATTAACTGTTAGTCAACTACTCGGGGGGAGATACGTGTCAACCACTTGGAAAAAAAATCAAGTGTAAAGTTACGGAGAGAAACGAGCTGCTGCAGCTATCGTCGTCAATATTTTCATTTCCTTCTGTCAGTGTTTCACTCATCTCTCGCACTATCATGTATCTCAAATCATTGTCTAACTAAAAAATCAAAAGTACATGAATATATAAGTAAGGTAAGTAGTAAGTGGCGAGGAGTTCAACAATTATTTTCTGGGTCATTTTTGCGCAATTAAAAGGATTATTGCGGAGGAGGGAAGGATCCTAAAATTTGAACACAATTTATGGGTGCGGACCTACATCAAATGGTTCGCAAATCTTGGAAAAAATATTTCCAGTCCCGCCGTATAAAAAAACCAAAAACGCAGTGCTGTCCTTTAAAATAATAGTACGATTTAGTTGACGAAAACAAATCATTTTCTCATTTTTATGGCTAGATAGTTGACTGGCAAGATGTGAATCGCTTAACTTATTTTATCTTTACAAGGGCCTGCGTACTTTTGAAAAAAAAAATAGAAAAAAATTTTGTCATGTAGTCGATATTCGAAATAACAGGAATATTGGCCACTTGACACAACCACATGTCATACTGAATAACCATCATATGACGATAAAGGCGATGTCAAATCAACTGACTTTACACACATAGGTTGGGCAATTCTCACTTGAAAACTTTTAATAGCTAAAGCTACAAAGTACTACATCTGTACATAGAGCATTGCTCATTATAGGAACATCTTTTTAACTACAGCTACAACCTTTTACTTTAAATCTTATCATCTACATATAAATGTAGTAAATATATTTAATTTCATTGTCTGCTTTTTTTAAAAACAGAATCATACCTTATTCATACGCTCCTCTCTGATTTTATTTTTCTGTTTTGTACAGAGGGTACATCTTCTCTAATGCCAGCTTGGACTTTTTCTTTGCACGTGATATATTTTTTTGTCATCTGAAAATAAACCTTGGTGTGCTTCAAAGCTAGCTTCTTTAAGCAATTTTGGCTGTCGACATCGTTAGCAAATACTCGTTGAAATTGTCGGCTGCTGCAAATTCATCTTCTGTATGCTTCCATACACTTCCGGTCCCAGTTCTTGTATTTCCTACTCATAAAAATGTTTAACAAAAATTAAAATATAATATAACAATGTATATTTTTTCATGAAATATACATCGTAATGTTTTCAAAAATTGTTAGTTTTAAAATTATTTCAATGTTTTGGAAGCGGAGGCGGCTAGAAGACTCTTTAATTGCTTGTACATTGTACTTTAATATATACATTATAACATTGTATTAGATAATTGGAAAATTTCCCAACAGATAACGCATTTGTATATTCTTGGATACCTGTAGAAATTCTAATCCAAAATTATACATAAAGATCCGGAAACGTTTGATGGATTTAAAAACAACAATTTGTAAGGGGCTTTATTACAAACGATGCAACTATATATAGATTTGGCTTCATTAATTTAATAATAATTACTTTTAAACAATTTAACTTTTATCAATTATTGTGCGCATAGTAATGTGACAATTGAATGCTTCATATACATAAACCAGTAGTTCTATTAATGACAGTGAATGGGTAAAAACAGAAAAACGGACTAAATCTCAGGTATCGCCTGACGCGGGAAATCCTTTGCCTGAACAAAAAAAGGACCGCTATGGATCAAAGTGATCAGTTATCACCGTCAACTCTGTCTAATGTAGGTAACGGTAGCTTTTTACATCAATTACAACAGCCTTACATCCCTAATATGATGGGATCTTATATACAGAGTCCAAACGCAATGCCTATGACACGCCGCCTCAGATGCCACAGTTGCAGACGCAGCATTATAATAATCCAGTCTCACCGATTATCGACAATACGGTAATTATGTGAAAACTTGAAGCTATTGATTTACGTTTGCGTAAACTGGACTCAATTGAGGAACAAGTGTTAAACAATTAACTCTAAAGTATCTTCAATGAATCATAGAATCTCTTCTCTGGAATCCAAAATGTCTGATTCGAATAAAACAATACTAGAACTTGAAAAAAAGCAGAACATTTGATTCACAGGTGTGCAATGAGATCAGTTCTAAACAGAAAAATATCGACAAAATTATCTCCGATGAAAAACAAAGATGTAATAGCATGCAAGGTGAACTGCATAATTTGAAACAAAGCAACTCTAAATTAGAAGACGATATTGTGGATTTGCATGCACGATCGATGAGGGATAATTTGTTGTTCTTTAACATTCCAGAGAAAACCCTAGCTAACAACAGACGAGATGAAAACTGTTCATTAAAAATTCTCAACTTTTGTGAAAACAATCTAAAAATGTCAGATGCTAAGAACTGACCTGATAGTTAAATCTCTTGATCCATCCCTGAGTATCAGAGTAAACATTTATGGCGAAGTAAGTTGACATTTTCATACAGAATTTTATTATTTTTATATTGACACAATGTTATATTTTTCCCGGCTTCTGGACAAAATCAATATCTATTTCTTTTTTAAAATCACCAAAGACAAATTTCTATTTGTCGAGAGAATATTTCTCGCAGAAATTTACTTTCTGTACAAAAACTATGTAAATTGTTAAAATAACTGATTGTTTTTGTTAAAACTGTACAATGGACTTTTTGTAGTTTTGTAAAAAAAAACTCCTTCTTTTCAAGATTGTGACGGTAGATGGCGCTAAAGTAGTAATGGCCGACCAGAATGCTACTAATGGCGTTATTCACGTGATTGACAAAGTGATGTTTCCCTTACCAGCGCAGATATCCCAACCACCGTAGCTGCAGACAAAGAACTGAGCACACTTCTTACAGCTGTTAAAGAAGACAGCTTGCTGGTCCTTTAGCCGGTTAGGAAGATTAACATATTTATGCTTCACATAGTTATAAAAATGTGTTAACTTTAAACAATGCTTATGCAATCTTATCTAAATATTTTACAATATTAATGTATTCACACGTCTTGGTGTCTTTTCGCAGAAAAAGACACCATGCGTTCAAATATGGAATAAATGTACAGTAAAATTGTTCATTTCTCAATGGTTATCTAAAATGTATGCTGTACTAGGTAAACAACTAAACATGTATACAAAACACAATACTGTATTATTTTCCTGTACTGATTGTAAAAATCATTTACTCAGGTCCATGCACTTTTAATATAACTATGTATCTGTTCTTCAGGAAGTGGACCTTTCACCCTTTTTGCACCAAGCAATGCCGCTTTCCAAAAATTACCACCAGGCGCACTCGATGACTTACTACGTAACAAAACAGCACTTGTAGGTGCGTCAGAAAAATTCAATTTTTTTTTTCAAAAACTACAATTAAGACAATGAGATGCAACTACATATACATACATATACGATCCGAACTTTAAAATGACTGGTATTTGAACAGCCAAAATAATTAAGTAGTTTTTCAAATGACTTCTTTGCTTTAACGTGGTTTGTAAGCTTCATAATCACGGAAACGATAATAAAGACCACAATTTTTTCAGGTGTGAAGAATGCAATAAATTTTGGTGAAAATGTGAAAGTAGAAAATAAACAACTTGATAATCTTTCAAGCAATTGTTAGACATATTCTGACCAATGAAATTACCTGACGGCAGTTAATAGTGATACAACTCATTATGTGCTTATCTTTCTGGAATTTCCCCTGGTTGAATGCATGTCGAAAAGTACTGTCACCTCACATTAAAAAGTTCATTTATTACACATTTATTATCTTCAAGTGCACGTGTCTCTCAAATATCTTTGTAGTCTTGAAAAATCTGAGTTAGTGTATTTGGAGGATATGCAGTTCGGTCTTTGTGTTGAATTTTAACAAAATAGCACCGGATTCAAAAACTGAAGAAAAAAATGCGCTGGATCACTAATGATTAATTAAGGTGCAAATATTATTTCAAATAGAAGCATCTTTCATATTTCTAACACACAACATTTCTCCAAGTTTTGACTAAGACGCTTTTTAAACATTTATTCTTTCGTCACTAAAATTTTCCAGATAACTTAATGGTAAATAAAAAACAACAACAACAAAAACAACAGAATGTTCTCCAAAATAAATGTATACATTTAATATTTTCATGTTTATAAAAATCATAGTGGTTTAATTTTTTTTTCATCGGACTAGTCTTGTCACATTCGTGGGATAGAATCCATAATGCTTCTTTCCGCAGTCGAACTTTCTTGTCCATCCAAATGCTACATTACCGTCAACAGAACAAAACTTCTGCTTGATGTCCATATCTGAAAGCACAAATGATTATTCTAAAATCAAAACTTTACAATTTGCAGGAAAAAGTCACATATAGCCTTTGACACTTGAATCAGCAACTATGGTGTTAGTGGTATCCAAAGTTTTTAAGTTGTTTTTGGAGATTTTTTTGTGTGTGTTATTTATTTATTATCCTCCATAATACATGAAGATTTGAACAATTACACAACCAGTTTTTACATAACTACAGACACAACAAGTATACAAATGTGATATATACATTACAAGACAGAATATAGATAAACAAATGCAAGTAATCTATAAAATGTATACATTGGACAGCACAATTATATGATTTGCCCCTAACTGAAAAGTAAAGCACTGAGTAAGAATTAAGACGGGGAAAAATGCTTGTATATGATTTAGACTTCCCTCTAACCCTAGTGCGAAAACGAAACACTAGGAAACAGAGAGCAGGAAAACAAATCTACAAGTTTTAATTCAATGACATTTATATGAAAACCTAGACCAGTTCACTAGATGATCGAAATGTCATTTTCATAAAGAATATAAACGGTTACTATTTAATTCACTACTATAGTAATCCAAGTTACACTGATTGAACAATTCATTAAAAAAATATATTTTTAAGCAACGCTAAACGGAAAGTTCTGATGTTTGAAATGAATTATTTAACAAAATGATTTTTAATTCCTATAACCACTTAATTGATGGTAAATATCGTTTATTTTTAAACTTAAATCTGCTATGCTACTGCTATAAATGGAGTATGAAACATCTGTATAATACAGTCCAAATCGATACACTTTTGCAATTATGAATACATACAGTAAATTTGCAATTAAATGAAAAAGATATGTGCGAATATAATTTTCATGAACATGTATAAATGCAAATCAAATATGCATAATTTATGGTTATTTCTCTTATTCATACACAAAGTTCAGCTTTGTTTCAGTAGACATAACATCGATACATGAAAACAATTCTTTCAAAAGAATTGTGCTATTTTCTGATTAATGCACTTTGTACATTTTTAACATACACTTAGTCATCCAAAAGTTTGAAAATTTCGTATCGTTATTCTGGATGGCCAAGCTAAGGCACCTGACACACTGCTCCCTAGGCTCACGGCCTATCAAGTCCGAAAACCAGTCCATGCCAAGGCGGTCGATTACGCCGTTCCACATACTTTCAATTAATAAATTGTTTTCAGAACAGTTCAGCAGCAAATGCGTTGGCATATCGTCTGTTAACACCGAACACTTTGAACACGTTTGAATATATTTATTTGAACAGAGAGTTCCAATGGTGGAAACTAATACTGAACATATATTCAAAAGAGTTTGGTTACATTTTGCTATCTGCCACAGTACATGTGGCTCATTCACTTTTATCACAGCTCTTAAAAGGTCGCCATGATCACTTGTCATTAGCCTGTTATATCGATTAAGTTTTTCAGTATTAATTATATGTTTTGTAAGTGTACGTTTCCAAGCGATTTTCGATGGAAAGGATCCCGTATCTTTGTATGTATGTAACACATCGCATAGTTGATACTTTTGTAGAAGTCTATAGATATCTGGCAAAAATCCACGGAATGGAGTATTAAATTGCAGAAATCGAACTAGTCTGTTGTTGAAAATATCTTTTGCTAAATAATTGTTTGATAGATGACATAATTGTCCCAAAAATTGCAACTTTCTGTAGTCTATTAATGATTCAATGGACACCATATCAATGGAGCTTAGTACGTAGTCTGTGCGTGTATTTGTCTTCAATGACTGTATGTTTTTTATACAAAATCTGTGAGATCGTTCAAGCAGTTGTAAATCTGTTGTAGAAATAACATCCCACAACTCACAGCCATAAAGACTTTTAGGAATAACTACACTATTGTAGATTTTCTTGGACGATATAGGATTTAAGTTATCTGGATGGACACCACTATTACAAATGCTCAAAAACGTTCCTCTTAACTTCCTACAAGCTTCTTCAATGCACCTTTTTGTGTTTAAGTATGAGTCGCTTATAATGCCGAGATGAACATATTGATTCTGCTCAGCAATTGTGTTATCCCTGTTGTTATCATTGTATACTACTGCAGAGCACTTTCCAGGATTATATTGGTATCGCCATTTGTTAGCGTATGTGTTACAGATGTTCAACATTTCATTTAAACCGCTCACTGAGTAAGACATCAGCATCATGTCGTCTGCAACGGTTGGTGAACCTATATCAAAATTGTAAATGCACATTCCAAGCCCACTGTCTTGTAACTGTCGTATAAGGTCATTAATGTACAATAAGTAAAATACGGGGGAACTCTTCCCGCCTTGACGAGTGCCTTGCTCAACGTTGAACCAACTTGAAGAAAGTCCTTGGAATTTCACACAACTTTGCATATCTGTATACATTGCTTGAATAGCTTTGAAAGACGTATTGTCAATGTTACATTCATGTCTCAGTTTATACAGCAAACCAGAATGCCATACGGTATCAAATGCTTTGCGACCGTCCAGGTAACATACGTAGACTGAAGATCCAAGTTCTCGCGAATAGTGGATACTTTCACGGACTATGAATGAAGTCAGCAAACACCCTAAACCTTCCTGAAAGCCTCCTTGCTGTTTGTTTATGCATGATAATATTTCGTGTTTGCATCGATTCATAACAATAGTTTCAAACAATTTAAGAGATGTGAGAGTAATCGCGCGATAATTATCTGGTTGATCTTTACGTTTATTACCTCCATTGTGTAATGTTACTATCACACCGCGCTTTAAAGATACTGGGACATAACTCTTCCGAAGCATTTGAGTAAAACGATTGGCAAGTACCGGTGAAATAATAGTCCTTGCATGTATAAAATGTTCATATTGCAAATTATCAACCCCGCCTGCTTTACATTTTGGAACACTAAGTATTGCATCGCTGACATCTTCAGGAAGTACAACGACGGTTGTGTCATGCTGAACATTGTCGAGAATAGACGCCTCACGCTCCACTCTGTTGAACAATTCATTATCAAATTGAACACTTTCTGTCGAAGAATACAGATTTTCGAAATACTTTCTCCATCCATCAGTAATTTCACTCCGGTCTCTAACAACACGACCGTCAAAGTTAATACCAGCACAAAGATTCGATTGTTTATTTTTGCGTCTACACTTAACTTGTCTCCAAAAACGATCAGAATCAAGCTCTGCCGTACGATCCATTTCTTCATTTAAGAAACGCAAATATTTAAATGTCACATTTCTATGTAATCTACGGAATTTCCTCTTAGCGCATTTATAGCTTGTATAAGCTTGGTGACCACCACCCCGTGGACGACCCTCTCGGCACCATATTGCACGAAGTTCCGACATTGTTTTATGGGCAGAAGATAGTTCGTCGTTCCAATATGGCTTCAAAAATGTCACATATTTTTTTCTAGGAAATACGCTCATAGCACAGTTATTCACTTTTGTGACAATAGTTTCATAGGCATGGTCAATTCCTGCCGTGTCAAGGTCACAGTGTGTCAGATGACATAGGTCGTCATCACTCATTAGCAACATATTATATTGATAAATCAAATCATCGTCAACTTTTTTCCAGTTCACTGTTTTATCAGATTCAGCAACATTTAAATTTTCATTTGATAAATTAACTGGAAATGTAAACTTTGTTAAGACAAGCCTATGTGTTGACACATTAAGACAATGGTCATCAATAATCTGACAACCAGTTACACAATCTAAAATATCAGTGGATACACACACGTGATCAATTAAAGTACGGCACTTATCATCATACGAAACATATGAATACATGGGTCCTCTGCACATAGGTAATACATTAACAACACATAAACTTGAATCAGAAATAAATTTGAACATTAATTTATCACGTGTACTACCGTTTTCCAGATACTGGGCGTTGTAATCGCCCACAAAGACTACAGCACCATGCATTGAATATGTATTCCAAATATCATAAAGTTTATCGATATAATCCCTATAACTTGCAATCGCATGGTTAGAACATGGCAAATAGAGTTGAAAAATAAATATGTACTGGCCAGGCAATAATTGCATTTGAACACCACAATACGGTCATCATCACAATTCAATGGAACAATAAGATGATCTAATCGTTTATGGTAACATATACCTACACCACCTTTGCCTATTCTGCGTGAACTTGGTACATATAAATCTGTGTCACATATGATATGAAACTTATAGTTTGATATAAGGGTGTCAACGAAGTGCATATTTTGTGGAGTCAGAAAATGACACCCTGTGTAATGGTTACAATATTGCATTAACTTCCTTCGAATACAATATAATGACTGTTTGATTAAATAAAAGAAAACAAAAAGCAAAGAAAGGTAGTCGAAATTTTATTATCAGTGAGTATGTTAAATCACAGTTAAACTACTACATATTAGGATAATTTATAGAAAAATAAAGAAATTTCTCACCATGTTTTAACTTGAGCATATCATCTTTTTCTTCCACATTTAAAGTGCCCATACATACAATTCCTCTTGTCTAAACACTGCAATGAAAATATACCATGACTATCATACCATGACATTTATGTCATAACACCATAATACCAAGACAGTTATACCAAAAAATTTATACCACTTCATTTATACTATGATATTATTATTATATCATGACATTATTAAATTTTATACTTTTGCATTTGTACCATTATATTACACCATGACATTTATACCACAATATCTATACAATGGCATTTATACAATGACATTTATACAATTATATTTATACCATAATATTATATCATACTATTAAACTATGCCATTTATACCATAATATTTTACCATGATATTTATACAATGTCATTTATACGACGATACATAGAGCTCCTCTTATTTTAACTATATATTGAAAAATTACCATGATATTTATACCATTGTTAACAACAATTCTGATAATTAGTTAATAAGTGTCATCAAAATAATGAAATGTTTTAAAAGAAACATTATTTAACATAGCTGTAAATTATTTAGTGGTACATACATTCCTGATATATAACAATGTTTCAAAATTTATTTGCGCTATCATATTTCAAACGGTGTTTTAAAGCATTTTCATTATAAATAAGTATAAAAGCATCATCGCATTATGAAATGATGAACATAATTACGTTTTGATTCTCCCTCTAGTAGAGATAAACAACTCTCATGCTTTCGAAATCTCCTTTCATCTTTATCCATGACGTAAACGTGTGGGGAAGAGTAGAACGTGTTTCCCAGTACCTCGCCAAGATATTTCTATTGAAAATAAACATAAATTATCTCAGAATACAAAATATTTAAAACAAACGGTGCCTTGTTCATATCCAAACATGACCTTTTGTGTGATATTGTTAAGTTCTGGACATGTCAAAATTAATGTGATTTTATTCTGTTAAATAATTAGTTTTAAAAAATCATTCAGTTTTATATGTGTATTCTTAACCCAAATCCTGCTAAAAATCTTAAATGGACTTGTCCAATTTTCAATCTGGACCAAACCATTAACCGTTTTAGGGAAATTTTCAAAATATGTCTGGATAGTGAATTGTGCAGACCATGAGCAGACAATGACGTAAGGTTAATTTTTGGTCTGCACTGGTCGCTTGGGTAGATTCACCTACCGCCAATATTCTTTGTGTCAACATAGTAAAATAAATTTCCCTTTCAGTGATACTTATAATAAGAACAGACCAAGTGTTTTAATAAAATTGAACGACTGTAATAGAGTAATAATATATCATTCACATATATATAAACATGTGAAATGATAAAAGACTGACCTGATTTATGACTGGATGGAAATACTTCATGCACAAATCTTTGTAAAGTTTTTCCGCCATGATGGCACAATCGAAGTTTCCAATTGTATCGATAAGATCTCTGAAATAAAAAATGCAGGTCATTTTACAGAAGACATGGTAAAAATAAAGACAAAAGACCCTTAAATTCAATTCTGAAATGGAATACAATAGACAATTATAATGACCATTAATCTAATGGTAAGGAAGTTTTAGTTAAGTGACTACTAGTTTTTGGACAAAATCCTGTGTAAACTACTCGGAGAAAAGTAACTGTAAACTACTCGGAGAAAGGTAACTGTAAACTACTCGGAGAAAAGTAAATGTAAACTACTCGCAGGAAAAATAATGGTGTATACATTCACGGATTTAAGTATGTGAAAACTACTCGGAGAAAAAAAACAACAATAAAACACACTGACAGAAGCAAGTGTTAGCTTCTTTAAGAAAAGCATGTCCAAACAACTCATGCAATCTGCTCGGGAAAACAATTATTGACCACTCGGAGAAAAAGCACAGAGAGGAGGATGTGATTATTTATTCGTCAACTACTCTGGGGGATACGTCGAGAAAATCAGGTGTAAACTTACGGAGAGAAACGAGCTGCTGCAGCTATCGTCGTCAATATTTTCATTCCTTCTGTCAGTGTGTCCTCCATCTCTCTCACTATCATGGTTCTTAGATCCTTGTCTAACTGTAAAGTCAAGAGTATATGAATATATAAGTAAAGTAAGTAGTAAGTGGCGAGGAGTTCAACAATTTTTTTTGGTCATTTTGCACAATTAAAAGGATTATTCCGGAGGAGGGAAGGATCTTGAAATTTGAACACGATTAATGGGTGCGGACCTGTAGACATAAATGGTTCATAAATCTTGGAAAAAAATATTTCCAGTCCCGCCGTATAAAAAAAAGCCAAAATCTCAGTGCTTTCCCTTTAAATAATGGTACGATTTAGTTGACGAAAACAAATTATTTTCTCATTCTTACGGCTAGATAGTTGACTTGCAAGAGGTAAATCGCTAAATTTATTTTATCTATACAAGGGCCTGCGTACTTTTCGAAAAAAGAAAAAGAAAAACACTTTGTTATGAAGTCGATATTCGAAATAACAGGAATATTGCCCGCTTGACACAACCACGTGGCATACTGAATAACCATCATGTGACGTTAAAGGCGATGTCAAAATCAACTGACAATACACACACATGTTCATTTTGAAACTTTTCATAGCAACAGCTACAGAGTACTACATCTGTATATAGATCATTGCTTATTAAGGAACATCTTTTTAACTGTACAGCTACAACCTTTTTCTCTTATTCCTACCATTTTTAGTATAATCCAGCAGACGACAATTTGTATAGATACATGTAGTAAATAGATTTTAATTTCATTGTCAGCTTTTTCAAAAGTAGAATCATACCTTATTCATACGCTCCTCTCTGAATTGTTTTTTTTTTTTTGTTTTGTACAGAGGGTACATCTTCTCTAATGCTAGCTTGGACTTTTCTTTGCACGTGATATATTCTTTTGTCATCTGAATATAAACCTTGTGTGCTTCAAAGCTAGCTTCTTTAAAGCAATTTTGGCTGTCGACATCGTTAGCATACTCGTTGACTATGCCGACCCAATGTTAATACCATCTGTCAAATCTTACTGCCGCGGTAATCAGGTCAAAAAATAGTACCTTGATTTTTTCTAAGCTGACTGATCACTCATCACAGACATTTACAATATGAAAATATTTTCATTCTTTAATTTCATATCAGATAATAATTCTCTGAAAAATTCTTGATTTTTGTTTGTTATTTTTTCAAAATCACTACTCCGTGACGTCATACTGCCGCGGTAATCAGGTTTAGGCATACGTACGTCTGTAATAAATAGTTCTGGTATGAAAACCCTTCTACATAATAATTTTATCAATAATTTTTTAACAAAAAGCATAAATGAAAATTTATTATAAGTAAATGCTTTTATTAGGTGGCAAATATTCTTTATTATTTTTGATAACAATTTTCCAATTACTACGCAGCGACCAACTGTTTTTGACGGTCATTAACTAGAACGTTGCAACACCGTAGTCTCAATATCATGCATGTTCTTTTGTTGATATAAACCATTAATAGTCCTTAATATTTTTTAAAGACAAATAATGGTAAATTGTCGCTTACACCAGAGACATGGATCGTGCTTGCGTGATAACTAAGGAAAACTAACTTATTAGTACACCCTAGGAGGGTGTACGCGGAAAACGCTCATAAACCGCCATATCATATAGCTGTAAAGTGAACAGTAAAATGACAGAAATATGTGGTCAAATATGTTTTAAACAAGGAAATAATTATTTCAGAGAAAGACGCAAAGATCAGTCTTCAATCAAATGAATGATCCCGTATTGTGTAATTAGAAAGTTTATTCAAAATTCTAGGGCAACGCATCATAATTTGCTAGTCCATGTGTAATAAAATTTAAAATTTCAATACAGATTATGAGATACATAAAAAATATTAAAAAAAATAAGAGGCTTTAAAAACAACAACAAAAAAAACGCATATATATATATACGAATGACTTACAGTTTAGCATCGGGAATTCATCAACATATCTTACGAAACTTTAATTTGAAAACGATATTTGCGGGCGCTGAAGTGATTAATGTTTATTTGAATAAATCAAATAAAAAAAACTTATATGTTTATGTTCTAAAAATAATCGGCGGCATAAGAGGAATTTCGTATTCATTTTACAACACTTGAAAAAATACTACAGAAAATGTGTTGTTGTTTTTTTGTTTTGTTTTCAACAAAAGTGTGTGTGTTTTAAGTTTATTTATACTCGGGGCCGGAACAACCATATGTCCGAGATTATAGAATCGAGGACGTCTTTTTCAAGCCGAATCTTCCTGGTAGCCCATTATTCGTTCGTTGGTGGTAAAGGAGACGACAATACTGGCAAGGCATCAACTTTTCTGACTGACGACAACAAAAACGGCATTCATTAGCGCCAAACCTCCAGAGTAAGTCACGAAAGGACAACCAATCACCTCTGGTACTTGAGATGACTTGACCTTGACCTGCCGTGTGCATTTTCCGCGACGTGCACGCCTCTGGAGGGATTTGGAGAAGTTTCAACAAAAAACTTCCAAAACACGCTATTTATAAATTATAACACCATTCATAGCACTGACGCTTCGATGTTTCTCATCTATTTGCGGGAAATGGTCGACAGGGAAAACCCTACGTAATAACCGCACACCCTGTTAACAATAGATTTTCCGCAGTTATATTTCAAGCTAGTGAGGTTTAAAAAAATACATGTAGAATCTATCTATTAACTACCATAAGTTGGTTGAGTGTTGGCGGTAAAAAAAGAAGATATAACTTCCTGATCAATTTTCACTTAGGTTGATTCAACTTTGAATAAGCTTTTTGCAGATATGTATTTTTCAAAAAATATTTAGTTTTAATAAATATCCGAAGCCGTCAAAGTCAGCGACGAGTAATGAAATGGGAATAATTTTCTGAAACGTGCTTTTATTCCAGATTTGCTTCGGAAGAAGACATCTTTCTGTCCGTAGAGTATGGATATTAATACTCATCACAAGACAGTATCTTATTGATCTCAATTATGGTACATGACATGTAAATATGTATAATATTTATGTTCAATAAAAATGTTGCATAACTTGCAGTTGTTATTATCATTCAATGATATTAAAATAACATTAAGTATTTATGATGAACAGTCCTAGAATATTTTGATAAGGAACAGTCAGTTGTAAAATGTTATTGTTATCTTATAATGAACAGTCGTCATACTTTCTGGTATGTCATTTATTATTGACAGTTTAGGTTTTTCAAAATTTGCAGGATTAGCAGTCCGAATGTAGACCTCAATGAAATGTTCTGGAATATTAACAAAATGAATAGTCAACCATATTAACCATATATATGAATGGTTGAACACAACAGTATGGATAAATGACACAATGTGCATATCTTCTTATTTTGGTAATAATTGAAATAACAGCACATTTTAAGCAAAAAGAAAAGAAACTATAAGTCTAAAAAACATTCTGTCATAGCCTCCCCATCAGTACATTCAGTGCTTTGATTTCTTTCGACTCGGATAAAAGATACAACAGAATGTAGGCCTAATACGATAACATTCTTACCTTTAATTTAAACATCGATCCAAAAACCCGCTTAGAATCACATAAACTAAACTTTACTGCATTTTTGTCTTGAATTGTCAAATTCAAAAGTTCACGATAATTTCAATTAAAGAAAAGTCAAATCGGCAATCAAACACAAAGCTACTACAAACATGGCCGTCCCTTATTTTTTAAACGAAACAAATTTGGTTTTCACTTATTAAAATAATAATCCGGCGAAAATAAAGTAAACATTTACAAGTTCTTCAAAAAGAAAATCGTCTAGCCTGTTTTTTTATGATTACATCGTCCGCTTGAAACTGTAATGTTCTTATCTCCAAATTTTCCAAAAACAAAGTTAAATACACAATTTTGTCCCGTAATGGACTGTTTTTCTATCTGCTTGGCATGTTATATTTAGTGTTTTCAGAGTTTCATAAAATAAATTAACAACGAAAACCATCCTGTTTTCTATCTGCCACAAAATTTTAGTATGTCTTGATAATTAGACTGTTCTAACTTACTGGAACTTAATCAAATCATCGATAAATCTCACGTGACCTGTGGGATATATATGCAACATACTGTTCTTAAAAATCCAAAATTTATCGTATCAAAACATAGCATCAATCACGTGATAGCAGGACAACCCGCCATGTTGTACGAAACATTTTGAGTTTAGATGGTTTGTTGTTTATTTCATATATTAATACTTAATATAAGTATTGAATGATATAATATATTCATTTTTATTCCTCCAATCATTGACATTTTAGTATTAAGTTCCTGCAAATTTACTGCATGTGATTAAACAACAAGCAAAACTGGTCATGATTTTGAAAGTAATTTTCGGATGTGTAATATTCGGATAGAAAACAACTGTGATCATACAATTTCATCAAACACATTCGTAAAAAAAGAAAATTTGTTATATGGTTCTAAAGTTTCTTTAACGTCAAGGTACATTCTG